TTGACAAACAGGGTGCTGGCAGAAGTTGTGCTACTGTTAGACGTAAACCACGAGGAGGGAAACGTGTCAGGAGACAGAGGGAGAAGAAGAAAGTGAAGAATGTAGGACTGAGGGTTGCAACTCTAAATGCGGGGACAATAACAGGCAAAGGTAGAGAGCTGGCTGACATGATGCAGAGACCAAGTGGAAAGGCAGCAAGACTCGCAGCATTGAAGCAGTGTTTAAACAAACAGGGTGACGGTGGGAACTGTGCCACTGTTAGTCAAAGACCACGAAAATGCAGAGGACAGAGAGAGATGGAAGAGGATGACTCGCTGTGGTGACCCCTGAAGAGGGAGAAGCCGAAAGAAGAAGAAGTTAGAAAGTAAATGAAACAACATCAGAGATAACAGGAGACAAAAAAAGTACCTTTTACTTTATTTTTAAAGGATTTATTTTCTCATTTGCACTGGTCAAGAACCAAAGTACTTCCAGAACCAGTCACAAGTTCATCACAAGCTAATGAAGAGTGAAGAACAGCAATTCATCCTCACACCTACTGCCAATTAGAGGAACACCAGTTATTGAGAGGAGAACATCTGGAGACAATACACAGTCCAGTCCCCACGGTGCAACCTCCACACATCCTTCTTCTTCTGTGAGGTGACAGACAAGTGCTGGAGTGGAACCTGGATGACCCTTAATTTTCTCCTGTTGAACACAGACAAGACTGAGGTTTTGTTTTTTGGACCTGAGCACCTTAGGAATTAATTTTTCAGTCTTTCTCCCTCCTTAGATGGCATTAATCTGTCCTCCAGTTCTAATGTTAAAAATCTTGGTGTTATTTTTGATCAGGACATGTCTTTTATCCCCCACATTAAAAACGTTACTAGAACTGCCTTCTTCCACCTGCGTAATATTGCAAAAATTAGAAACATCTTATCTAAAAATGATACAGAAAAACTGGTCCATGCATTTGTCACGTCTAGACTGGACTATTGCAATGGTTTATTATCTGGATGTCCAAATACTTCTTTAAAACGTCTTCAGTTGATCCAAAATGCTGCTGCCAGAGTCTTAGAGTGGAGAGAAACTAAACTGGAGAGATATGATCTCTTCACTGGCTCCCTGTCAAATCTAAAATTGAATTCAAAATCTTACTTCTAACCTACAAAGCTCTCAACAACCTAGCTCCATCTTATATTACAGATCTTATTGTTCCATATTTTCCTAACAGAGCACTTCACTCTCAGACTGCAGGTTTACTCGCAGTTCCTAGAGTTTCCAAGAACAGAATGGGAGGAAGATCTTTCAGTTATCAGGCTCCTCTCTTGTGGAACCAACTTCCAGTTTCTGTCTGTGAGGCTGACACACTATCCAGTTTTAAGTCAGGTTTTTATTTTCAGTTATTTAAAAAAAAAACATGTTTTTATTCAGGTCTCTCTT